AACATGCCAAATTAGAAATGTGATAGTCATGTAGATATTGATATTTCAGGCAAATGGCATGGCGTATTGCCTGTCTGTAATAGTCGTATCAGCAGTGAAAATCCTGTAACACAAGGTTTATGATGCTGGAAAATCCTTCCAGTCCCACTTCAATAATACAAGGCATGATGAGCTGATGCAATTGGAACAGAGGGGCAATTGAAATGTAACCGAGACAATACGTTACCATACAGAGTGATAGTTTCGCTCATCTCCTCTGCCAAATTGGAGTGGATCAGTGTGAGCTCCAGTGTCCCGTATACAAACCACAGGGGAGGGACGAATTCCAGTATCTCCTGAATACGTGGAAGCAACCTATGTCGACTGTGTTGACATTTCCAGAGTCAGAAGGTCTAAAATTCTACCGAGTAGAAATCAGTTTCAGTTCATTTATCCAAAATGTCTCTTTATATTCTCCCTTAGGTTGCCTTAAAAGTTAGATAACACATTTCCCCATTGTTAAGTCACAGCCCATATATAGTCTGCATCGGTGTGTCCCAACAGAGCCTTGAGGCAATATCACTTTTATATTGAGGAAAATAATTTAAATATAGCACGCCATGTTTTTAAGGCAGGACATAGAAAATTCTAGGAGCCTTTATGTACATTTTGCAATAATTCAGTGTGACACATTTTGTACTTTTGGAAACTACTGTAACATTAATTTGTAATAATGTGTGAGCTTCAGTTAAACAGCATTAGCTGCTAAGGTCAAACTAGGACCTTTAACTGAAATTAGAAATTTTCAAATTCATGAATAAAAAAAGAACATGAATCATCACAATTCATCTGAAACAATGATGCAGAAGGTTTGGTTACTGTCTGTACAAACAACTATACTCAGATATCCCATGTCCTGGGTATTTATATTTGTATTGCAAACTCAATTGCTATAAACATGCCTGGCGACAGGATACCTTTTTAGATGGTTTTTATGAAAATGTTGTCTTTTTCTGTAAATTGCTGCAGCTTGTGCTACCACAAATTTGCCTCTTCAATATTCCTGGGACCAGCTGCCCTGCTTTTCCGGGTTGTCTCATCACATGACATATGGGCATGCGCAAAAATTATATACAAGTTGCAAATGTGCTAGGCCCGAATTTGTGCACACCATTTGAATCCTGTGCAGGACTGGCTCTCTCTCTCTCTCTCCTTTTTAAAAAAAATCTCAAATTATTCACTGAGAATAAGAGTGTGGAACATAGGGTGTCATCACACCCAAGTATTTATTTACAGACTGAACGCAGGCACAAGCTTAATATAACTGCTGCAAGTATCAACTATACATGTGACTCCTGTTAAAGATGCTTTTATCAAGCTTGTTTATTTCAGTGCATTTAGACTGATATTCATTTCAGCTGTACAGCGAGTTTGACACTGGTACCTGTTGACCTTGGAGGAAGGACTGGGTCTTTATGTACCCTCTCAAGAAAATAGGAGCAGAATGTGTTCAATATGTGCAAGTATATGTGGCTAAATACAACTTGGTGGAAGCCTTTCAGCAAATTAAAGGATTCATTTTTAACTATTTTATAATGCTGATTATTATTGCAGGCAATGTTTGTGTCGCCATCTGTTACCAGTGTGTGTGTGTGTGTGTTGCCCTACGCACACATTCTGTACAGCTTGCTTACAGCGTGTTTGTTTGTATATGTGAATATGTGAAGAAAAAGGCTGCGACAGAACTGCAGCTCTAAAAAAGTGCACTAGAATATGCCTTCATTTCAGTTGGAATAAATGCAATCACCTTGCACACGCTTCTGCTTCTGTGCATGTTGACATGACTTGGCATTTCTCACATTGCTACAGAGGACATAAGTTCTCTTGATTTAAAGCTCAATACATAACTATGCATGAGAATAAACCGAAGGCTAGAATAATGTAGCAGAAAACTGTAAAGAAAGATGCCAATAACAGCCAATACAGGAGTGTGTGTGTTTCTGAATGGGCGTGTGTGTGTTTTATGGTGATGAGCTGTCTGAGTGTGTTCCGTAGACAGCACCTCTGTGTTTATGCAGTGCTAATAGTCTCCAGGAAAACAGGGGGGAAAGAGTGCTGCTTGATATTTACACACAGCAGCCATACCGTCTGGCAATGATGATGGCTCCCTCATGGCCCCAAAAGACAGCAATAAACCTAGAGAAAGCACAAGCTAGACAGAGTGAGAAATAGACTGGCATATATGGAGTGCAGTCGAAGAAGTCAAAACATGGCAGGTTATATGAGATTCAGGGATTTGGAAAGGGAGATGGAGGGAAAGGTAGACAAATGACTGCAGTGCAAAACTGAAACAAGAAAAGTTCAGTCAGCTGAGTGGGTCATTTCATTTCAGTGGTCCTCGCTGGTGCTTTTGATGTTCTTTTACAACAAAGAAAATCAGCTTCTAAGAAGTGTGTGTGTGTGTGTGTGTGTGTGTGTGTGACACTGCATGTGGTGTTGCAGTTTAGAAGAACTGTTGCAAAAGCTTGTCCTCGTTAAAACTTTGAAGAAAATATTTAAGAGTTTTAAGTCATGTGCCATATTTAAAAGCTGTGTTTTCACACCATTTCAGTGCAAACACCTTTGCTTTAGTTTGACTTCTGACAGCATAACTTGTGAAGTTTCACAATAAAATGAAACAGATAAATATACAGTTAAGGACGGCTCAAACTCTGCACACAATGAAACATCAAGTTATTTTAGCACAATGTCTACCCAGCTTGTGGGCAGGCATATCTGCATATTGTACTTCTTAGTGACATTTGTTCAATCCTCTACATCAGAATCTATTACACTGGCACAGTTGAAGTATGTGCTTGGGGCCACAGTAAAGACTGTGCCAGGCACTCTCTGAATTGAACAACCTGACTATAACATCAATATCAGCCGCCCCTGCTCTTATGTTATCAGTGACAAGAGCTTCTCATTTCATCAGTCTCAACAACACAGAACTCAGTGAAAATCTTTGCTCATCTTCAAAATCCATTTCATATCAGAGAGGACTGCAGCAGTCCAGAAAGTTGGGCCCCAACATTCTCTCAGTGCTGTGAAGAAGGCTGATGTCACCCTCTCGCTGGCCATCTGTCACACTGGTGGTCCAACCTCAGCTGGAAGTGGACTGGTGGTGGATCCAGACTGGCCCGGCCAAGGCGAAGCCCGCCTGGTGGGTATTTAGTACAGCGTCTCTCTCCACCCCTGTAGTGCCAGCAGCAGCCCACACCACTCATCCTTTCAGTGTCCGAGCCTCAGTCTAGCTATAGCAACGGCAGGTAACCGGGCACCAGATGGCCGAGGAGACCACCACCCACACACCAGCACACACAAACACGCACAGACAGACAAGACCGGCACATGCATGATTTTTTACGAAGAAGCTACAGTAAGCATTAACATATGGTATGCGTCTTGTACACACTTGTACAACTGTTCTCTGCATGGTTTCACACACCCACAGTACTGTTAGCGTTCACCTTTTCTGCATCCATTTTAACCCGCTATATTTAGAAGTTTGGTTAACTTGGTTCGTTATTATCAGCATGATAACTGCAACAAGACCCACCGTTATCCCCACATTCATTCACACCTATTAGCCAATAAGCTAGTGAGAAACAGCACCCCACTGGCTGCAGGTTATTTAAGTCCTGTGGAGGGAACAGCAACAAAACACGACAGTAACACCACGGCAGCCATTTAATGAGCACTACTATACTTTGAGGACCAAGTCCTAATTTTAGCCAGGAAGTCACTTCTGGGCAAGCTGAGCTAACAGAGATGAGACTGACCATGATAAAAGCCATATTACACTCTTTTTGATTTCCTGGCAAGACTTGGGAACTGTAAGCAGTGTGCTCCTGTAGCTACTTCGCTGTTTGCACAGTGAAGACTTTAACATTAATAATTAATAATTTCAAGATTGTGGTTATTGCTTTCAAGTTTGAAAATGTCTGTTAAGTGGCATTATGGTCACCAATTGAAGAGTTTATTTATCTGAATATTTTATATTAAAACATTCAGTAACTCAAAACTAGTTGCTAAGTGATTCATCACACAATATCCTTCTGCAGTTGCTTATGGTATTTGTCCACTGATTGAATTATCACTCCAAATCCTAATGCATGAAATATATAACATAATATGGGCACATCTTAGTAATTAAAACTCAATTTTAAGCTGGTTGCATGGTTTATCTCATTTGCTTTAAAAAATGTAAAAAAAGTTTTATGTTGCTGTCAGGTTTGTTGTGGTAGAAGAAGTATTCAGGTCCTTTACTTCGATTAAAATGGCAACACCGTACGAGCAGGGTTTTAGTTTGAAATCTAAATGGTCCAATATGCAACTTCCACAAGTTTGACGTAAAAAAAACTTGAAGCCTCCAGTGCACACACTTAAGTTTTCAGTGAAGTAGGAGACATCTTGTGCATCGTAGTTAAACTAATGAAACAAACAAAAAGTTATTGTTTTTTTTTAGTGAGGGAGAAGGATTGGATGTCATTTGAATGATTTGTTTTTGCCAGGTAACCTGAATATTTTGTGGCAATTGCAAAAGTCGCTCAAATCCTCCACACTGCCCATTTTCCTGCTTCTAACAGCATCAACTCCTAGGAAAAAATGTTTCACTATATCCCACCCACTGACAGGAGCCATGATAACTAGATAATCAGTGTTATTCACTTCACCAGTCAGTGCTTATAATGTTATGGCTGACTTAAGCAAATAGTTTCATCCCACCACTGAAGGGTAAAATTAACCTAAACCTGCTTGTCAACAGGCTCAACAGATCCCATCACTTAACCTCTGTACGCCAAATATAAATCAGACGGATTGATGTTAATGTGGAAACAGAAACATATGTGTTTTTCTATTGTTTTTTAGTGAATAGTCAGGAAGTTGTGGCACATTTGAATAATTAAACACTGGGTGTAACACAGATTTCTTCCGTTGACAATCTGCTAGAATAACACAACACATTAGAAGAAGCAATGTATATCTTTATTATGTGCTATGTACATATTTTACAGTATAATACAGCAACAATACACAGTAATGCTACACAGTTGAGATTGCACAGTTATAGAGTTAGGCCACAGCGGTCGGGTACCGTGGTTATGAGACAGAACATCAAGTGTACGGTAAGTACAGCATACATCTTTGGCTTCATAGGGATAACAAAACATGGGCACAGTGAATGCAACCAGAGAGGGGGGGTTACAATGATTTCTTGGCTCGAGATTGGATTATTTTTTTTTGCCCCAGAAAGTAGTATATTATGTAATGTAAAGTATTATATGACATATTTTTTTCATGTATGGGTGACCATTATGTTTCTGTTCAGGTTACTACAGAAGTGTCCTTGTGTGTTGGTTGAGGAGATTGTATCCTATAACCCCTGCTGGGCTAAGACTTGCCCGGTCCTGAATCCTGTCAAAATGCATTTCCACACGTACATGGCATGTGCCTACGCATAAGTACATAATCTGTGCACACACTGTATGTGAGGAGACGACAGTGGTGGGAGCCAATTCTAATTCATTCTCTAATTGGCATCATTTCCCCCAGTCAATTAATTTGTGGTAAAATTAAACTAGTCCTCATTTTGCTGGGGTTGTTTAGAGAGAGTGAGACCGCCTCTCTCCCTCCTCTCTCCCTCCTCTCTCCCTCCTCTCCTGATAATACTGAATCTTCCATTCTCCTCCCGCCAACATACAGCAGTTACAGCCTACAGAGCATCGGGGTGAGGGACAGAATACAGAGAGAAAGCGAGAATACAGAGATTGGATGAAAGATAGATGGGGAAAGGGAGAGAGAGAGAGAGACGGGAAGTGACAAGGTGAGGTAGAGCGAGAGAGAGGGGAGCCGACAGAGAGATGGATGCAGCAGGGTCGCTGAGGTGAGGAGATGGTGTAATGATTAGATCACAGATACCCTTGAGCCTTCCTCCCGTCCCTCCCGCGCACAAAAAATCTGGTAGCGCACTCGGAAGAGGAGGAAGGGCCTGCAGTTGTAAATGGCCCCGCTGTCAGAGTTCATCTGGGCGTAGGGGGAGTGCGGGAGTGGATTACCGGAGTCTGCGATTAAGGAAGCCTACTCTGCCTTCCTCACTTCTCCCGAGACGGGAGAGAGGCTGGTGCTGGATCGCATTTGTGCTGCTGCCGCACCAAAGATTTCCTAAAGATGTTATGAATTTAATGTTTGGCTGTTCAGAGACTTCAGATGTTTCAGGAAGCAGGCGGGGAGGAGAAACATCATCTCTACTGGACATGAAGTTCCTGGAATATCAATACCTTTGAAAGAGTCTGGGAATTTGATAACAGCTGATAGAAATATATGTTTTCGAGTCTACCTGCATGTTCACTTCTTTAGAAAACCTACATTTTGTGTATTTTTGATTTGGTTTTGTCCTATTTCCCTCTCCCTCACAGCAGTAGTCTGAGGCTGGTGTTAATTGCTCCCTTAAATATTGTTCACCTCCTAATCAGATGATGTCATCTCCAAACTTTAGCAAGTTGAAGGTGACTGCTCGGAGAGGAAGAGATGTGTTTAGGATGCTTCCATCTAGTGGTCACTTAATGACACTGTTGATAATACAAGAATTGGAAAAAGGGAGATGTCATGCAACAATGCATTATTATGACCCTTTTGGACACATTTCTTCAGTGCAGTAGTTAAACAATATGACTGATGAAAAAAAACTTTTGTCATACATATCATAATAGCCTGGAGTGGCAGGGCTGGCAGGGGACTGTGAGTGATTTTCAAACATAATGGCTCCATTAAGCGCACATAAAAGCATATCTTTACAATAAATTCTTACTTAGATTCACAAAATAGATTTGTGACACAATACCCACTTGCATCGACACAATGAAGGCGTGACGGAATGGCGATGGCTCCGAATGGAAGCAGTGCTCTCAGGGCTTATACCACTAGTGAGACACGACACCTTTCTTGATCTTACCAAGTGGTTAAATTTCGATATCCGCTGTGAAAGTTGTGACTTTATTTAATGTCTGATTCAATATTCCAAGTGTTCATCGCCTAAATTGCAATCTACAGAATCTTGCCTCTCACCAATGTGTGTTTCAGTGACAGATATTGTATTGTATGTACATGTTACATAAATGGTTTCCTTTAACAGAAAAGAGATGGATGGTTTTTAAAATGTCATGCGTAGGTGTGTGTAAGTGTGTGAAAGTCTGTATTTGAGGAGTGAGGAGGAACATAAGAAATATAGCCAGAGAACAACTTCAAACTGAAGATATAAAAGGACTAATTCGAAGTAAAGTTCCTTATAACAATGCATGAATGACATTTGGATAGCTGTGTGACTGGACAATTGATAAGACCAGTGAGTTTGCCTTCCGTATGCCCACTGTGTGAACAGAAATCACCAACTATAAATTAAATAAAACTGGCAATATGTACATATTTTCAACAAACAAGTACAGTTTGTAGCTTGTTTTACAGCACAAGAGAATCAACATCCCGGCTGACATTAAAACGTCGCTGCACAAAGCCAAATGCTGGGGAGGCTTTGGCCACCTCCAGACGTAACTTGATCACTACTTTGGATTTGTGTACACTGCAGTCTTATTCTGTCTGTGACTATATAGTGGAGTATGTTGTGCAGCGTGTTTTGGCGTAAAGGTATTTATTCCCTCAAATGTGGGAAAATCCTCTTTCACTGTGGATTAAGGAGACAGTGTGCATAATGTATACAGGGGGTGAGCGTGGAACACACAAAAGGATGGGGGGTGAGGGGGAGGACAGTTAGCAGGAAGGTATAAGCAGTGGGAAAAGGTTTCTGAAAGCTGATATCAGTACTTTTGGATTGATGTGTTAAAACATACCTAAATACCTTTTTTTTGATTTGATGTTTTTCTTTCCAAAACAAATATGCCACATTGTCTAGTGTTTCTGCACAAACTGTATTCTTGATTGGAAATATCTCAAAAATAGCAGTTATACTGGAAGACACTTACACCAAGGAAGATGATAAAAAATTTTGATGCATCATCTGGTGAAAATGTTGCACAAGTACACATCTGGGTAGATGGCATCCCATTGCTCAATTTTGCAAGAATGCAATCAATCAAACTGCATCATATCTGTAGCTGAGGAAACTAAAAAAGAATTTCAGGACATGCTGAAAAAAAGCAAAGAGAGTGACACAGAAAAAGAGACGAAAGTTGGGCTGCGTTTGTGTCTCATTATGTCAGGGTACAGGTGGCTTCTTGGCAGTGTGGCTTGTTCGCCGACAAGCCGCTAATGCCGCCAATAAGATAAACCCTTGGCGAATGTGCTCCTGTCGACAGAGCTGACACCGATAAGAGCACAGGATCTAACGGCCAAGACAACTAAAAAACATGAGAGGCCAGGGTTGAGATAAAGAATGTAGGAGGTGGGAGGAAAATAGGAACAACAGCGATCAATTGCTGGCACTGTGCAGCGATGCTATCCGACGCCATCCCTCTCTTACATCTCCTGTAAGAGTGTGTGTGTGTGTGTGTGATCATAATCTGAAGGGGAGGAGAGGTGGGTGATGTGCGTGCGTGCGTGCGTGCGTGTGTGTGTGTGTGTGTGAATCTGGGTCATCAAGTCATCAATAACCACCTGCATTAGTGGAAGAAACACACAGGCAAGGTCAAAACTGACTGAAATCCCTTCTGAGTCAGAAGGGGATGAAAGGAAAGGAAAAACTTTACAGTGTGGGTCTTTTCCAGTTCAGATGACTCTATTCCCACAGGGGTTGGTTGAGGATGGATGCTTGGATGGATGGACGGATGGATGGATGAGTGCATGAATGGAAGAGTGGCATTTGAGTATCTACTTTTGACAGATTTGCGACGGCCGACTTGGCAAGCAGAAACAGGTGGGAGTTGGGGGGCTGCAGCTGGCTGGGGCGGCGAGAGAAAGGGAGCGAAGGGTGAATCATGGATGGATAGACGAAGTTAGGGAGGGAGAAGGGAGTGTCTGGCGAGGGCTCGTGCCCCGCTGACAGGCAAGCTGCTAGTTGGTGGAGTCACTTAACCACACAGAGTCAACCAGAAATGATGGGGCCATCTTTGTATCTGCAACGTACTGTAGCCCTCTTCTCTCCCAAAGGCCTCTGGGATGGTCGTAGGCAACAGGACTCCATCGAGGAGAGTGAAGCTGTCTGATTTGCTCTGAAAAGTAACACTGGAGCAAGCAGCGCTGCAGAAGCTCAGTGTCTTTGTTACTGTTGTGTTCTCAGTTTGCTTACTCCACTGCTGCCGGTCTTCCTTTATTTTACTCTTCTTCCCATGTTGGACCTTTCACTCCTCACCCTCCTCTACGTACGTGGATGGGAACCAGCCGACCTGAGGAGGGAGAAAGGGGAATAAGTTATCACACAGGAGTTGACTGACATACAGCATCAGTTGTAGTTTATTGTGTACATCCCATCTCTTTGCTTTTTCTACTTTAGATGGTGTTTTCCTACATCCACCAGCAGCCCACAGTGAAGAGCTGTACAGTGTATTTGTGTGTAGGAGAGATTTTCTCATTAGAAGAAAGAAAAAAGAAAAAAATAGAAAAAAATATGTATATTTTACATGCTACCTTGCAACTGTTGGTAATACTAAAGGCATCACAATGGTGCAACTAAAACATAATTTAGCCATTTTATTTATGCAGAAGTCAATTTCTAGCTAATGTTTGTTTAAATTATTACATCAGTCCCTCCAGGATTTCACAGGCTTTTTTGGGATTGTTACAGCCTAAATCCCTGATTTCATGGCAGCTCTTCTGTGAATGTTTCTATGAATGTTGCAATGTTTTTAGGCATTTTTGCAATGAAATTGTGGGAGAACGTGAAAATTGCAAAAATAGTTGCCATTTTTTGTTGTTGGTACAATTCAATAAAAAACTTGTTCCAGTGAGAATAAAATCACTAGCAGTTTGGTGACATATGGCTTACATTTGCATCTCTCATTTATCCCAAAGCATCGTGCCTGAGCTGAAAAAAATCTTTAATAAGATGGATTAAATGTTACACAAAGTTCAGTCATTCCGGTTTTTAATGACTGTTTGTACGACAAGCTTACTGACAGTTGTTTTGTATCATTGGAAAAGTTTTAACTGCTGGACAGAAATTAAGAAACTAAAGATATTAAAACATAAAACACTCAACATTACTGCAAACATATTCCAATTTGAGTTTCTTTTGGATAGCAGATATCTTGCACCAGTATCTTTTCTTTTGACCACTTTGGTTGTAGTGGTAGAGAGTGTTTCTCAATTGACTGATTCAGCCAGCTCTTTTCCAGCCAGCAGCACCGATTGTTGCTACTGGTTAAAGGCTCTAAAGAGAGTCTAACAGCTCTCTACAGACTCTATATACAGTGTTTAGTTTTCACCAAAGCAGCATTAACACACAAACATCCGGCCGAGTAAAAGAGAAACACTTCTTCATTTACAACAGCTGTTCACAAAACACACTCACAGCACAGACACATTACTGATGGCTGCAGCGCACACACACGCACAGGCTGAATTTGTTACTCAGTCTAACACTCTTTGCAAAGCTTAAATGCAGTGCATGTGAGTGGGAGTCAATACATATATTTCCCTGCATTTAGAACCATGATTCTCTCAGCACTGCATGCCTGATTATAAAGCACTTTCGGTAGTGGATGGGAACATTTATGCATTTAAGATATAGAAGCGCGGCAAATGAGCTCTTCCAAGTGGTAAAACAGAAACGATGGAAAGGTGTACATGACTGACTCAAGATAAAACAGATTCAACGGAATAGTCCCTTCCAGGTACCTGTAGACAAGAAAATTTGCCAAATCTTTCTTCTCCAAAAAGCCAATTTTCAGCACTAAAATTGGATTTAAGAATTCAACAGCCAGAATGAAGAAACAAAACTGGTTTCTAAGTAAACACAGCTAATGGAAGTTCTGAAACTTTACTGTCTCTATTAAATATTAGTGAATGAACAAAAATGAATGAAAAAGGGTGCTGACTTTTTAAGAAATTGGATAACCTGGAAGCCAATACCAGCCCTCAGAAAAGATTATTTTCTCTATTTGGATTTGGTGATGGCAGGCTGTGTTTTATTAGCATCTTAAGGCTGACACTTACCCTGCCGTTAACCTCGCCCCTCCACCAGCCGTTGGCTCCTGACTTTGTGTAGATCTTCACCACGTCACCCTCCTGCAGCGAGAGCTCTCGGGTGTCACGTGAGCTGAAGTCGTACCGAGCTATCGCCACACCAATCACTTTCGGAGTTAACACTAGAAGGAGAGAGAAAGAGATGCGGGTGTAAATATATTAAATTTAGTTCATCCAACGCTCAAGAAAATGGGTCAAAAAAACATTTAAAAACCTCAGTATTGTCAACACATACATACATGCGCACACACACACACACACACACACAGATGGAAATGGGTGATTTTTCTTTTTTCACACAGCCAGAAAAACCTGGGGTCTCAAGATCTTTCCCCTCTCCCTTTTTCTTTTATTCTCATGAAATGTAAGAACATG